GGAAGGCACAGGTTGGCTCTGCCTTTCAGAGCTCTGCTCGTGGAGGTGGGTACCTGCTGCAGCCCCTGCTGCACTACGGCTTCCCCTGTGCCTCAGGGCAGCCTATTCTCCTCCAGCTGCCCCCACCAGAAGAGACTGCACTGGGCATGACCTGCATCAAGCCTTTGGTTAGTACGTGGATATACCACCCATCAGGGATTTGTGTGCTTATGGTCTCCAACTTGAGGCACGCTCTCTTCTACGCTTTGACCCATTCCCCGTCTCCTGTAGGAACATGGGAAGTGCTGTTGTCTTTAGCATCTCTTGCCCGCGAGCCCCATTGTTTGGGTCAGACAGGGGTACTGTGCCAGGGCTGTGAGATGGGATGTCCTTTAAAGACTGATGCAGAAAACCCAAAGGGCTGAGCAAACAAGCCCACGAAGACCTGCCCCTCAGTTCAGGGCAACTAGCAGGTAAAACATGACAACGAGAAGCCTTGACCGGGGTGACTGAAGGTCTCTGTGCCCATACCACAGAATAAGGACGCTAACCCCACTGAGGCGATCATTTTGCTGTCTGGCATGTTCCACAGGCATCTGGCGTGACTCTCCAGGTGAGGTATCACTAGGTGATTTTACCCTCTACATCTCTCTGCAGAACCAGCTGCCCGAGCTGAGCCTGTTTCGCTTGCACGTGATGCTTCTGTGCGCTTTGAGCAGCAAACACCTTCCCCTTCAGGGGTGAGGGGAGGCAACAAAGGGAAGTGTATGGGCAATGTTGGTCACGTACTCAATTTGCCTTGCAGGATGAAAGTAAATACACCGGGTACATGATAAGAGGAACATGGGACTGGAGGTATAATTCCCGATTCTATTGTTGTTCAAGCGACACTGTGAAAGCAAAGGGAGCGATTTAGGGTATATTCTGCTAGAAAGGTAAAATCAAGATTTTTACAGGAGGAAAAAAAAAAATCATCATTTTCGCAAAATTACAACCTCAAACAATATTAGCAAATGCTTACTGTGTGAAGACAGCTCTAAGACACTTTAGCCTTAAAGCTTGTGCTCTGAACAAGCAGAGCTAACCCTCAGTCAGCAGAAGGAAGTGATAATACCTCCTTCAGGTACTTGTGCAGCCCCAGAAGCCACATTACTTCCAGAGTGCAGGGCTGGGGAGCCATTTTTGGAAGTTCAGGTAAATAGGAAGGGAAGTAAAGGGAAAGAGGACTTGGGGTGGTGAGGGCAGGGTAGAAGAGTTATACAATACAGGTGAAGACACTCTGAAGGAGAAAACAGATGTTTTGTACTTGGGAGCTTCATTCAAGCCCCTTTTTCCTCTCCTCCTAACACAGCATTCCTGCCTTGGTTGTTCATATTTTTTTTGCTTCACTTCCAGCTATCCCTGGATGACCATGGCACTAATTCCATGGCACTTCCTAGAAGCACAAGCTTTACCCAATCTCTGTGCATGAGCCCCCCCCCCCCCAGTCTCCCATGAAGCACAGTACACCCCACTGAACTCCGTCAAATTAATGTCTGCATTTCAGAGATTCTGAGTTTTTACTGGTAATGTGATGTGTCCTGGACTGGGCAAGTGGAAATGATGAAAAAGAGTGTAACTTGTTGAATTCTTTATTGTAAGAACCCAACACGCAGTTCAAATTTAAGTGCTAAATCCCAGAGCTACAAAGTTTTTGTGTATCTGCAGAATATGAGCACTGAAACTTGGCTGAGACTTCCCAAAACAAAAGTCAAGGGCCACTTCAACACAGACTTGTTCACTGTTGTACAGTGACCGAGCTCACCTGCCAGGCCTCATTACAGAAGCTTATGGATGTTCTTGGCAAGAAAACAGATATCTCCCCAGGGAAGCTCGTGACCTGTAGCTAATATGCTGAGCACAAAGAGAAAGAGCAGAAAACAGTAACCAGAAATACCCCAGTGCCCTTGGGCTCCTTCCTCTTTTCATCTGTCGCAGGCTAAAGAAGTAGGATATTTGTCCAACCATTCCCATGGTGGCTCTGCCTGCTGCTCTACAAAAAGCCCACTCTCGCTTCACTGGATTGGAAAGACTGTACTGGAGACCCACTTGGTCCGGCAAGGTTTGAATAGCGCCCAAAGAAATCAGCAGCAATCTTGCAGGGAGGATAAGGGAGCTCTAGGAGATGAAATAAGGAAAACTAGAGTACTGCTGTGGTCACAGGCATCTTTCCTGTCAGCAGCATCGGCTTCTGCAGCTCCTGTTGCTGCTGTGCCTCCCTCTCCCATTGCGAGCTCATCTCTTCCCCTTTGTGGTGTTGGTACGATTCTTCACAAGGGCAAGGGTTGAGTGGGTCCAGGAACTATCACAAGTTTAGAAACAATTTTTTATTTTTTTTCCCCCCCTCACTATTTCCTGTAAGTTCACAAAACTCTGCCCAAGAACACTCTTTTGCTTTTGTTAAGGAGTCCATGAAAGCTAAGAGTTGGGATGGGGACAGGAGTGAAAAATTAAGATATTTCCCAGAAATCCAGGCAAGACTTCGAGAAGTGAGGATCATGAATTTAGAAATAGAAATGGCAGGGACAGTTAGGAGAGAGGCTCTAACATGCTAGAAACCTCACAGTTGTTCTTGATTATATTACATTTTATTGCACGGATGTTGTACATTAAATCATCTAATCCATCCTCTGCCCTGTGCAAGAGGAAATAGGTAAACGAATGGGATACTGGCAATTAATAACATTTTTCTATTTATAGTACCACCAACCGCTGTAAGAGAGATCACTAGGTGTATTTTATACAGCTAAGAATAATAACTTTATGACTATGGGGACAGTTGCTTTGCAACTCAACTCCAAGGAACCAAAGAGGCAGTATCCAGAAGATTCAGCCTCACAGAAACCCACCGCATGTCTTAGGGCTTGGATTTCCATGGTGCTGAGCATCTCCTGGAAAATGCTGAAAATCCTCACTCTGAACGGCAGCTGAGACCTCTCACCACATTTGGGGAGGTGTGAAAAGTGGCTTTCAGTAATGGGCTCTTAAAGTACAAGAGTGGGGAACCAATACAATTGGACCTCCTGCCTTAAAATACAAAGCCCAAGACTTCTCTCAAGGAATGTTTGCTTCCCTCATCCGTATTCCCTTTGTTTCCCCAGATCTTGCCAATTGCCATATTCTTCCAGATTCCTCAGGTTGGAAGTGTTTTGATAAATAAGAAAAACTAGAGGGTAAGAAAACTTTTAGACACATTTGTTGTCTCTAAACTATCATGTGATCAGGCTGTAGCTGTTCTGTTACTGGGTGTTCATCAAACAGTTCTAAGAAATAAAAACTGGCCTTTTTTCTTCAAACCCTGATGATTTACATATTTCCCCAATGTAAATTCCTCCACTCTGCTTCTCAAAAAACAGCCATCATCATCTGTACCTCCCTGCAGTGCAGAACTGTGGGGGAAGTTTCTTTCAAGTCCATTACCATCTCTCCAGAGGACTATTTGGCATTCCTCAACACTTCATCATGAAGTGCATCCAGGAGGATTTCCAAAGTGACTGTTAGTTTTGCATTCCTCAGATCTGGTTCCTCTGAGCTGGGATGTCCCGAGTGGCCTGGTTTCCCAAAGGGTCTCAAAATGGAGACATCTTGCCTTGCTATTGAAAATCATGGATATTACTGTACTTACATATTTAAATAATCTTTCTACCCCAAGTGAGGCATGACAGGGTAAATACAAGTCTCTGAACAGTGCAGAATGACTCCAATAATTATATTTGTGTTTATGATGTCTGAAAGTGCACAAGGAGCATCATATGACACATGAAAACAGAGTACCACACAGAGCATCTGTCCATTATGGTCTGTGCAGTTATTTATGCTGAGAAGTGAAGGAATATATCCAATTTCACTTCTGATGTTGTTAAGAAGCAGAAAATGAAATCCTCTCTTTTGGAAGAGGAACTCACCGATATAATTGGGAGCTAAGTCCTGCCTGATGTCGAGCATTTCTGTTCAATTCATCCTGATGCTTTGCAGCATCCTTCCAGTCCATTCTCAACATCCCTCTCTCCCACATTCGTGGGCCACAAACTCCGTTTCCTCGGAATCTGGAGGAACTGTGTCACGAGATCACTCTGCCCCGTATGGTGTTGTGGAGTGGTGTTTCTTTGGAAAGAAAGGCTGGATACCATCCGGCTGCTGAGGGGAAACTAGTAATACTGTTGTTGTTTTTCCCCTTTACTTTTTTAACTGACAGGAACCCATGTCAAGCAGTTGTGTATCAGCACACTCCTTTAACGGTTTGTGTTTTCTCTCCCAGGAACCTGCTAGATGAGCCCTAACGCACTTCAGCTCAGCGTTTTCTTGTTAAACAGGATATTTGTGGGCAGAACGCGGCAGGTGTGTCTGGGAGGCCCGGGGCAGCAGGCTGCAGGGAGGGTCGCGCTGGGTGGCTGTGGCACCGCACAACCGCAGCTGTTGGCTCCGGGTGCCAAGCCTCAGCTGCCATTGCTGGCAATCCTCACCTTGACCAGCAGTTACCGGCCAGGAACAAGATAAAACTGATATTTTTTTTGACACCCTCGGTGCGGGCACACCTGCGCGGCCCCACGACGAAGCTGCTTTTCGAGGGTGGCGGCGGCAGGGCTGCAACCGAGCGCCCTCACGTCGGGGCCGGGAGGACGGTTGTGTCACGACGAAAACATCCTCCCTGTGACAAAACGCTGGCGCGACCCGCGCTGCGCAACCACCCCCTTGTACCGCTCGGCCGTCCCGCCCGTGAGAGCGGATCTGTGAGGGGCCGTGGAGACAAAAACGCCCCGAGAGCAGCACCGCGCCCCGCCGCAGGGTGACGGCCCCGCTCGCCCGCCCTCAGCCCCCGGGGCGGGGCGGCAGCCGCCCCGCCCTATCGCGGCGGCCGGGTGGCGTTGACGGACGGGCGGGGCGCGCAATGAGCGAGGCGCCGCCGCCGGGCAGTGCGGGCTCGGCCGCGGGGTTCCGGCCAATGAGAGGCGCGGGGGTGGGGGCGGGGCGGGGCGTCCCGCCCCCGTCGTGGCGCTGCGCGCGGCCGAAGGCGGAGAGGTGGGAGCGGGCGCCGCCGCCGCCGCCTGCTCGGGCTGAGCGGCCGCGGGCCGGTCACAGCGGGCAGCCCACCGGGACGGGACGGGACGGGACGGGACGGGACGGGACACCGGCGCAGCAGCCATGGATCACTACGACCCGCAGCAGACCAACGACTACATGCAACCGGAGGAGGACTGGGACCGGGACCTGCTCCTCGACCCGGCTTGGGAGAAGCAGCAGAGGAAGGTGGGAGCGGACACCCCCCCCCCCCACGCACACGCCCCGCCGGGACACGGCCCCGGGGGCTGGCGCGGCGCGGCGCGGCGGCGGGCCCCGCGGGGGCGGGCGGAGCGGGCAGGTGATGGCGGGGAGGGAGAGGGAAGGAGGTGCCGCGGCGGGTCCCCCCCGCAGCAACAGCTGTCCGTCCTGTCACCGGCACCCGGCCCGCAGGTGCGCCCGGGCGGAGCGGGGACCCCGCCGGGACCCCCCCCGCGCCCCGGCCCCGCCGGCCCGGCGGCGGGACGGTAACTGGCTTCTCGTTTGAATGGTGTGGTTTAGGGCAGGGCTTGCGCGGAGCTCATGTCCAAAAATGGTAACATTCAGCCCTTTTTTTTTTTTTTTTTTTTTTTTTTTTTTCTCCTCTCAAACCGAAAGGGTGGCGGTGGGGAGGGGAGCTCAGGAGGAGCTTCAGCCTCGCCGCTCTCTCTCTATTTTTTTTTCCCTCCTCCTTTAAACCAAACGCATCCTGTATTAGATCACTCGGGAATCCTAATCCCCGAAACATTTCCGTTTTAGTCACTTCATCAGGCAACAATAAAGCAGAATTTGAAACAACACTCGCGCTAGCATGGCAGGGGCACCTCGGGGTGCAGCGGGCTCCTGCCGCTCTTCCCAGCCGGTCACTTGTTCGCTCTGGGCTGGAGGTTTGGGTCGTGCCTTGCTCTGCCCGAGCCGCGAGCAGGCAGGAGAATCCCCAAAGCTTCCTTCTGTGCTAGAGGGGAGGTTATCACTTATTTACGTGTAGATGATATATTAATATATATATAATGTAGCCTGAGGTGTGGGACTTCCTGTAAGGAGCTGGGAGTAACTGGGGGGAAGGTGGGCACTCCAGTGAGAAGACACTTCTTCCTCTTTAGCCACTCTCTTTTCCCCTTTCTCTGCTTCCAGATGAAGGCTTTTCAGGTTCTGTTGTTCATAGCTGTCTGAAATGGTGCCACTGAAAAGTCTTTCCCCTGGAGCCTGATGAGTTAATTGAAGGTGATAGCTATAGAGCTGCTGTCAGCGATTTCCTCGCTTGGAGGGACTTGGGTGGTGAGAGTAGACAGCATGAAAATTAAAGCACGCAAACGAGGGCTTCTAATGGAGAAAGAGGCGATGGCATGTGAGCTTACATTTCAACAAAGGAGAAAGAGAGGAATGTAATCTTGGTCTGGGATGTGAGTGCTGGAAGGCTTATCGGAAGACTGAGTTGTACTCCTTTGAGGAGGGAAGTTTCTTCCTTTTCAAAAGATCTGCCTGGCTGTGTGATCTGTATCTCCAGTCTTGTGCCTCTATCTGGCCAATATATCTCGAAACAGCCAGTGGGGCCCAGAGCGAGATGGGCAGTATGGCTCACAGGCTGTGAGGGGAAATGGTTATCATGCCGTGGGGTTTTTTGCCTTTCATGGTGCAAGGTGAGGTGAAATATGTTCTATGAAGTGGGAGACCGACTTGTTTGTCAGGAGGGGGAATTGAACCTTTGGATTAAAAGGAAGTCCCAAACCTCAAGTTATGGTACGTGCTGTAAGGGCCATGCTCTTTTAATATAACCTCCTTCCAGGAGATTTTAGGTCCTCTTGGTCCTATCACAAGAGGGGGACAGAGAGCTACTCTGTTAACTTGGGTTACTTGTGCAGAGGAGGGGAGAAGCCAAGGGGGAGTTTTAAGGAATTAACACATCTGCTTCAAAATAAGCCAAGCCAATTTCTTTTGATGTTCAACTGCTACCAGTTGAATTTGATGTGTGAGGTGTCACTCTCCAGCTTGCTGAATGGGAGAGCTCTAGATAGTTAGGTGTCCTCTGGTGGTGGGGTCACTTGGTTGTTTCCCTTCCTGCCAATGGACAGCTGAAGCTGTTCCCTTCTCCAGTGGGTGCAAGCTCATTGTTTTATCGTGACCCACCCCTCTGGTGACCGTAGGTAGGAAGATCAGCTCTGGGAGTGATGGCTCTTTCCAGTTACAGCCTGTCAGACTAATGTCCCCTCAGAGGGGTTGATGACCAGATCCCAGCCTGGACAGGCTGTGCAGATATTGAGGGGACAGTCTTGTTCCCTTCCCCAGGGTCTGAATGTGACCAAAAGCCCTGTTGAGGTCTTGGGGCTTGCTTCCTTCAGACGTGAGGAGATAATGGTATGCACTAAACATAAGCCTGGGATGTGTGGTATATTAAAACTGTCACCCCTTCTTACCTGTGAAATTAAATTATTGCAGCAATTAAAATTAAATGTTCGTTTCTGTACATGTTAGTTAATAGCTTGCTGAAGTGAACAGGAGAGATTCATGCTTCCCAAATACTCCTGTGGGCTTTCTTCAGGCTCAGTCTTTCGTGGTTCACTCACGTGTTTTAGGTTTTCCTTCACCTAAGGAATACCTAGAGAATTTCTCACAGGAAATCTGTTTAAGTACTAAATCAGACAGTACTAAATCTGATTTAAGTAGTACTGAATTATTGTTGTCATTATTGTTTATAGTGCTGAAGCCAGCCAGTGAGGCAGATGAGAACTTTTGTGCTCGGGCCCTCTGTGGGAGGGGAGACAGCATGTCTGAAGTGGTGGCATGGCCAATAATCCAGTGAGCAAATGTCTGCGTAAGAAGTGCCTGCGTCTTTCTGACTGTTTCCAACCCATCCCCTCATGTCCCAGCTCAGTAAGGCCCTAGGGATAGCTGTGCCACAGTGCTGTCCTGAGTGGCTTTGTGCAGCTGGGACTAATTGAGACTTGGGAAGCAAACAGTCTAGAGATGTTGTTCAAAGATGAATTGAATCCAGCTCCCCTTCTCCTGGCTGCATGGTCTCATGGCAGGCATCGGAAGCAGGAAGATCTGCTGATTTTTTTTTTTTTTAGTAACAGCCTCAACAGGCACGCTGTAAGGAGGACGAGATTGCTGAGGTTTTGGGAGCTGGTTTGCAGGTTTCCTACCTGTGCTGAGAGACAGATATGACAGTCTTCACTCTCTGAGACTGTGCTTGAGGTACGATCTCATGAGCTGCTTTGAGATGAGTGAATAGGTGAGCTGCAGAGTGTATTTCATATTTGAAGGGTGAAGCTTGGCCTCTTGCATGATACAGAGACACTGGTCTCACACTTCTTCCCACCTGCTCCTTCCTGGGAAGTTACTGTTTTGCAATGTTAGGGATAAAGTGACAATTCCTGGGAGGAAAGCAGCTTTCCATGCAAAGCCTATTTTTCATGTCTATCAGAAGAGACTCTAAGAGGTTTTACAGAGCTCGTCACAGCATCGCTATTCATAAGTGGCAAAAAATACAATGTGCAGAACAAATTAATCTGTTTCTCACTTGATATAAGCTTCTGCACAGCCTTTTGTGCAGGTGCAGGGGGTCTCTTTTTTCCCCTTTGCACTGTTGAACTCATCTCAGTAGTTTCTTCTAATTGCCTTTTCCTCTCCCTTCTCTTTCCTGTCTGGAGTCAGGCCTCACAGTAGCACTAGCCAAGGCGTAACAAGGCTGATCCTGTTGCTTCCCAGTGTTATGAAGCAAAACTTGCCGAAAACCACTGCAACAGTCTCACCCGGCTGTCAAGATAGGCAGGTTTGCCATGTAAAAAGTATGTGGATGCTTACTGACCAAGAGATTGTCACTTGTGCCCACAAGGACATTTCTCACTCTTGATGACAAATGGCTAGCTGTGGTGGTCAGTCATTTCCTGAGTCACCGGGGGGGCTTTTGGGGAAGGAGCCGCATTTGGCCTTGAGGGACTGGGTGAGCCACTTGGTGTTCAGCACGCCTGGCTTATCTTTGCAGGTGGGGTGAAGGGTAGTGGTGAGAAGGGCAGCCTCCTGCCACCTCCTCCTGTGTGTCCCGGGGAGGTCAGGAATGACACCGGGGTGAAGCTGGCAGTGCTTTGGGGTGCTGGTAGGGGTCAGCCTTCGGGCCCCACATGCAGCAGGCTCTCCTGTTGGCTACTCTGTTTCACTAACTGGTTGCTCAAACTGCACCTCGTTCAGGATTTATTTTAAAATCTGGCCTGAAACAACTTGATCAAATTGTAGAGCTGGGGAGGAAGCTTTAAATGCCAAATTGCTTTCTGACCTGATAGCTGCCATCTTGGAAATGCGAGTAGGAAGCAGTATTTGTTTGCACCATGTAGAAGACAGCCACATACAACTTAAATATGCTGTAAAGAATGATAATAATGCTTTTCTTTTTTTTTTTTTTTTTTTTTAAATAAAAATCTATGAAATAAATGTACCTTGTCTTTATTCAGTGCTGCTCTTCCTCACCAGGTTGGCACTTCTGTGGCAATGTGGCAGTAAATGATATCTCTGGCTGAGAGAACTGCACTGTTCAGATTTACAGTGCTGCTGAAGCAGTGATAGCACAGACTTTGGGAGCGCCTTTTCTGCCTTGAAGTACTTACTAAGTACAGTTATTCATGAACTTACAGAAGTTCCCTGTTGGAAATGGTAGTCTCCCAGAACCCGTCTCACTAGTCTGTGCCATACACTGCATGTAAAGATACGAATAAATACAAGGGTAATCCCATAACCTAAAAAGCCATGGGTCTCTCAGCACTACCGTGTCTGCATCCAACAGGTCTTACTGCTCTCATTATGATTTGAATTTTGCTGTGCTAATTGCCTCCCTGTTTGATGTAGGGTTGTTAATGACAGAAAGTACCTGTCAAATGGAGCCCAGGTCCCTCATGGAAACACCCCACCTCCAAGCCTGCTGGTAGCATGCTCAGATCAGGTGGCATGAGTCTGACTAATATCTCTGACAAAATGAAAAAGTCACAATCACAGCTTCCTTTTCCCTTGGCTTGAGTGTCTTCGTGTCCCAACAGGGTCTATTTTGAGAAGGGTATTTAGATTTCCAGGAAGCTACAGTTGTGATAGCTGCTGTGGACCCACACAGAGGTGTGGTACCACACCTAATCTGTAGTTTGCTAACATTTCTTTCAGCGCCATCATAGATACAGCCATGAGGTAAATAAATGTGTGTTATTGGTGAATGTGCAGCGCTGGGT